GAAGAAATCTCCCTCCCAAGAGTTACGGCGCAGGTGAGGAAGCAGCTATTTCGCTTGGTATGGAATAGAAGTAACAGGTTAAATACAGTAGAAGTGAACAACTGCAAGTAGTTCGCGGCGAGAGGCCAATAAAAAAGAAGATTAACGTTTGATTCTGCATTCTATTTAAAACGTGAGATATTTAGTGGAAGACTGGAGGGCGACAAAAGAAAATTTCGGCAACGATGTTATAACCCAGTACACCCGAACGAGCAAAACTCGGCGCTTTAAATACGGAAAGGTAAAACTGCCACGAATTCGGAGAGTATATAAAATACTTTGGAACAACTTAGGAAACATCAGAAGGGGGCAGCAGTCCTCCCGAGTGACGGTCGGATTAGGCACCGCTCACCGCCGGCCCCGCCGCCTCCGCGGAGTGCATTTCGCATTTCTCTGCACCACTGACACACTGAAGCTGCTTTCCACCCAGATGCCCGGAGCGGCGCGGCGACAAATGCAACGCCGATGACGTCAGCACGACTTGCACGCCAGGGCAGTGAAACCTGGCGACTGGACTGAGATTGCAGCGTCGAGCCCAGCGGCGGATTAATGTAATTATAAGACTGAGTACATGCTTAGTACTCCTACTGGACAGGACCCTCCAATAACTTGTTTATTATATTACTTAACATCGATGTAAAATAATTTAATATTATTAGTATGAGTAATTATTATTAGTATGAATAATTACTATTATATTACTATTACTACTGTTATTATTATTATTATTATTATTATTATTATTATTATTTAACGTTACATAAGGCTCGCATGGCAATTCGCGAATGTAGCCTGTTGTCCAATTCAACAATTCACACATGAATGATAGTTATTTCAATAATAAGATATATTCAATAGGCATATAGACATTGAATACTTTAAACTCTTAAGAAACTAATTAATTAGGTTCAAGTTAACTTTCGTATGCATTTTGAATACGTGTGTTCGGTATTTCAATATTTATAGGGAGCCCCAGTGTTTAGCTTACGTCGCGCTGGGAAAATGCAATTTCATACCACTATTTGCATGAATGAGCTGCGTATATCACAAGTGTGTTCATTTTCTCTGCCACTTGTTTCACTGCCACATGTTGGCATGTCCGGAAACCTACTTCATAAACGCCATTCTCGATTTCTCCAAATTCTCGATTACTACCAGAATGTCAGATACCTTTCTTTACATCCGAATGCCTCTTTAGCTCGTCTGCGGAAAGCACTGTCAGCAGTGCGTGCCAGAAGAAGTTTTACATAGACCTATAGAGGTCTTTTCACCAAAAGTTCGCACCCTTATTTCAAATTTCAAAACTTGGTAATACTTCTTACTAGCGCACGTTTACATTGAGAATAGCGTTTCCGTTATAACAGTAAGAAAAAAACTGAATTAAAAAATGTAAAAGGTCCAATCTCCAATATTAACTTTTTTTTT